CTCTCTCTCTCTCTCTCTCTCTCTCTCTCTCTCTCTCTCTCTCTCTCCAGCAGGCGCTCGTATGGTTTACCGAAAAGATAGAAAGAGAAAATCGGTACTAGGAGAATCGTAGCGACGGATTCATGCAAATTCGAGACTGTAATCAAATAATCCTCGATGTTTAATATCCAACTTCGCGGTATGTCTCGTTAACGCTCACGTTACAAAAGCAAACATACAAGTTTCATCGATTGTCCGATTCCTTTCTCCTTCCCTTCACATTTTTTTTCGCCCCAGGCCAAAGAGAATACAAGAGGGGATGACAGAAGTTCTCTGAAAATTGATTTTTACGATAAACGACCTCTTAATTTTAAATACAGGGTGGCTCATTTTAATTTATCTACTCAACTATCTCAAAACCCGTAGGTTTTAGAAGGAAACTTTTTAGACAAGAGTTGTTCGGTTCTGAAAGGGAAAGAAGATAGGAATATTTGTTAGTCATCGAAAAGTAAATACTTTACGAGATATTTTATATTTATATTAAAAATATTTTGACAAAATTTAAAATGTTTCAAGAAATTTTCAACGAAAGAAAGCTTTATTATAGTGTTTTAAAAACGTCTCGACAAGGGCTACAGTATACCATAAAAAATAGGGGATCTAATTTAAAAAATTTGAACTGACCCGATTTGACAACGCCATCGAAGGTCTAATTAATATTCTTATCTTCTTTTTCCCTCAGAACCAAACAACTTTTGTCTAAAAAGTTTCTTTATAAAACTTAGGATTTTGAGATATTTGATAAATTAAAATAAGCCGCCCTGTATATCTATTTTAAAACGATATATGTTAAATACGATATATGTATATTAAAGGCAGTCTTGCTTGAGACTCGCGCTCGTCTAATTGATTGGTCGATATTTCACAATATTCCACTGGAGTTTACATTTTTCTTATACTTCTCTTTTCTTTTTTAACGGATACGTTATTCTCTCCCGCAACATATATCGGACGTTTGTCTCTGACGTAGACGGAAAATTATAGATTTCTCTTTTACTTGGATTTGTTGTAAGAAAGCTCGCTCTCTGATATTTCAAGCCGGAGATACAAGAATTGAATATTAAAAATAGAGGTTATCGGTGCGCATGTGCCAAGCGTTGCGACGACTCTAGCAAGGTGAATACCCGGCGCGATATCGCTAGGAGAAATTTATTTATATTTCCCGTCAACTCGTCGTAGCTCTCTTAGCTATTCGCGGTTAAAATATCGATCAGATGAATTTAAATGTGAACAAGCGAAATTTTCTGCTCCAACGTATCCATTTATATCATTGTTTATTTGACTCGCGCTTGACGTGCGTTCGTTATTCATAATTACCAGGAATCTCGTATCTGATCCTGGACAACACGGTGACACAAGGTGACGCGTGTTTCGCTCATATACCCTCTGTCATACGATTCCTAATCGATAAATGAGAATCCTTCTAAGCAGACAATAATATAACAAGCCAGGAAGGAAAGATGAAAAATTGTACCCTTCCAGCGCGAACCCTCTTCCCATCATAGTTTTACGTGGTGTCTCGAATAGAGAAAATGATCGTCTCGTAATCCTATATAAACACGGTTATTTTTATCCCATTACAGGGCGGTTCGGTAACGGTCCAACGCGTAGCTTCGAGTCCGCATAATGCCCACGTTCGTTGTGCACGTAGCTTTAAAGGCTGCCGACGTCCGGGGATGACCGCAGGATCCCGGGGGGTGTACCGTGTGCCACACCCCCTTTCGTCTGCTGCCACGAAGCTGCTTAACAGCGGGGGGTGAATGTGCCCGGTCCATGATACAGGGCCTTTGAAATAGTCCCCGGGTCTTCCGAAGGTCTTATACGTGTACGATTCCACTGAAAGGCCTACGCCTTCGACTTCGGAATGGATTGTCGTAACGTGCCTCGGAAAAAAAACATGGTAGCGACAACTAATGATGATTCGTCGTAAAATACTTAGTGCTCGACGAATACCTGGTGGGTTACACAAAAAAAATAAGATAAAAGTTCGGAAACGGTCTCTTAGACAAACTTACGACGAAATAATGGCTTTTCACTAAAACCTTTGTTAGGAAGAAGAATTATTAGTTCCTTTATTGCTCTCTGATTTGACATGTTTGCCGAGATACTTTTTTATACGCAATTATATGCATACTTTCATGATGTTTCTGGGGCAAAGAGGGCAGGTTCTGTGGTTCTCAGAGTCATTATTGAAAAGCGGCCTGGCCAGTTTCGGTAACACGTGTTACGCACTCGTTCCCGAAAATCTCGGTTGCACGTGACGCCCACGAATCGGATATTTCTCATTTCGGGTGACTCTTTCTGTCCGCTTAATGATGCGCGGAGCGGCTACATGTAGTCATCAAAATAAGACTCTTCTTTGAAAACCCGGCGGAAATCGGTCCTTAATCAGCCGGAAACTGGCAATTGAGGAATATTCCGGCGCATATTTCAATGAAGAGACTCAGATATATAACGGCTCTCTTCTTCGTGCGGAATTCACCTAGAAGCACCTCGTCGAATGCTCACGGCCCGACAGGCCGTGGAATATTTTTTTTCTCCGACCCCTCGTATTCGCTCTCGTGGGTTGCTTTTCTTGAGAGGAAACTCTTGTAAGGTCGTTTCGTTTCGCCAGGAGGTCAACGGAACTCGAAGACGCTCCCCTCACCGCCGCTGTATCGTTCTCCCCCTCGGGAAACCAGACCAGAAATTCTATGGTTGAATCGAATCGGGGGTGAGAAGCGATCCGGGTTTAACATAAACAGAAAAAATACCCGTATTTCGCATAAATATGTATAGAATATTGTGTTACGAGAAACCGTGGTAGAGGTGATTAAGGTATAAAGAATGCGATCCACTCGAAATTCCCTTTTTTTATGTATAAGATTGGAGTGTAAAAATAGCTAGAGAATATGTCTGCTAAATATGTTTGAATATATCTTTATATTTTTTTGCATATTATATTTCTCATCTTATCGATAACTACAATTTGCGCGCACGCGCATGATTTCCTTATACAATAAATGTAAGAATAAAATAGGAGCTGAAGAAAAGAGGAACAAAGGGAAAGAGAAGTACAGCGCGACTCATCGCCAATGCCGTATGATCGCTTTGACAAAATTGACGTGCGATAGGATCGTAGGAAACTCAGTGTGGAATTGAGCGTAGTTTTTCTTTTTGCGCGTGTCAGCGTGTCCATTAATTTTCAAGAGGAAAATCGATGTCGCCCATCTAGAATTACGAGGCCGACGTCTCTTCAAAGACCCCATGAGTGAAATTCGAGCTTTCTCTCGTAAAAAAAAGGGACCAAGGAGCAGAAGCAGGAGAAGCGACCTGGCAGGAACCGGGAGAGAAAGAGCAAGATGGAGAAACGTTCGCTTGATGGACCCTACGAGGCGTCTCGAGGGTTTCACGAAGATATCGGAGGGACCAAAGACAGAAGACGAATACGCCACGTCCAGTCGATGCATTCGAAATATTTGACGGTGGGTTTCTGGCCGTACGCGAGGAGGAAGAGAGAGTGTCCTTCGTAGATTGAGTCCTTTATCTGGAAGGTAGGATCTCTCCGTTCTTGGGAGCCCACCTGAAACAAAAATATGCCCGGTCCGGTTGAGAGGAGTGCTCAGGTAGGCAAGCGTGTGCCCAGTGAATCGATTTCAGCTCCTCGTGGATACGTAT